CAGTACAAGTTAACCTCAATATTGTGTATTGGTTGTGATATAAAATAGCTTAATTAATTCAGATGTAGAGTATCTAAAAACAAATATAATAAATTTGCAGGTGGTTGGTGTACAAGATAGATGGACCAGACACAACAAGGTGACCACTACTGTCCAGCATCCCACACCTTGAGGACTACCACCTTACTAAGAAAGAACAGAATTGGTGTTCTGTACACTACTGTAAGAATAGTGGACTGTGAAAGTTAAGTATTACGGAAATATTTTTGTTATAGTTTAGCAAAACTTGAGAAAATACTTAAAGTACTGTACTAATGCATTCAAGACTGTAGGAGTGGACCTTGATTAAAGCCACACAAAGTATTAAAAACAAGATACATTATGTACAGTAGCATTATTAACTACAGTGGTAGTCACAGTTTTGTTGTGGTTGCAAAAAATTTCCATTTTATAATACTGTATATTTTTCGTCCACAGGTGAAGTATCAGCAAGGTGGACAACGAGATACACGGACATCAATCAAACGGATTGTGAGAGGTTTGAATATCTCGCACGGATCCATTTCTCTTAGTGGTTTGTAAAATTAAGTGTAATATGTAATTGTTGTTCAGTGTGGGAAGGCCTCTGGTGGCTTGTTGAGGGATGGCGTTTGTACCGGGGGGGAGGCGTTTGTACCGGGGGAGGCGTTTGTACCGGGGGAGGCGTTTGCACCGGGGGAGGCGTTTGCACCGGGGGAGGCGTTTGTAGTGGTAGAGGCATTTGTAGTGGTAGAGGCACTTGCACTGGTAGAGGCACTTGCACTGGGAGGTGTTTGTAATGGTTTGTACTCCTACATTGTCTGTGTTTAACAAAATAAATAAATATTGAATGAACTTTACGTTTCATATTCCGAAGTTGAATGATAATGATCTAAATAAACCACAAGTACAGTAGAACTGTAAACTATACCTGAAACATGAACTAAAGTGATCAACTTGGATACACCCACATGATGGCTTCTGGGTAACTTAGAACATGATATATACATTAATTACATAATTATCACCAACTGACATCAAAGTGCCATTCATTGTACGTACAACTGTTACAAACTAATGCCCATGTGATGCCCTATTGGGTACATGTAATCAAAACTACTAGATACCCACAGATGGCACAAATAATGCATTTAAGTCACAGACGCCTCAGACAAAGGATTTTGACAACCTTACCGAGAGAACGGACGTCTCGTGTTCATTTTGAAATTAATCGGCCATGACCGTAAAGAACATTTTTGATTGCATACATACTATTAATTTGAAAGTATTGTATATATACAGTAAATGAAAGTAAAGTACAGTAAGAATTTTACTTACTAAATGTTGACAATCTGGACACTGCACACCAATTGCTGAATGGAAGTGTTTTACCTGAAAATATAGAAGAAAAAAATCTTGTAAAATTGTAATAAACAACTTATGAACCCCCCCCCCCTCCCACAACCCCACCCCCTAAAGACTTGGTAACTTGGATAAATTTAGAAATATATCTACTGTGCCTGGCCAAAATTATTCACAAAGTACAAGACTTCCATTATTATCTAAAGCTAAATTTTGTGTAGGACCAAAACATGACAAGATACTTTATAAAACCTTAAGGTCTAGTGAAATAAACTCACCTTATGTGGAGTCTGCAATATAAAGGTTGAATTGAGAAATCCACAACCGCTGGTAATGTGACGGCCTCACCATCACTGATGTATCTGCCGAGAAATAATAATGGTAGTGGTACTGTAATGTGATTTCAGGGGACACGGGAGAAAGATATCTAGTGATGTTGCCAATCATTACAAGTTTTATGATTTTCTTCTGTGCTAATATTTGGTAATGTAGGTTTAAGAACATAAGACTGCAGGAATGGCCAGTAAATTGATATATACTGTACCTAGACAGTGCAGGTATAAAACCAGGCTATATGACCAAGGATATTTTGTATTTCTGTATCAGCTTCTGGACTGTTATTGTATATTGCAATAAATGTGTAGTGTATACATATGAAAATAAAAAATATACTGTACATTCAATTCTTTATTTTGTATTACCTATCTACAAAGATGTAAAAACATAGTACATATGTAATTTTTTTCTATGTTGCTGACAGAACACATTACCTTTTTCAGAACAATTTATAATGTAAGTTTGTTAGGTGGCGATGGTAGATACAACACTGCAGTAGCCCTCCTCCTTTATCCGGGCTTGGGACCGGCATGTTCGACTGAACAAGGCGGAGTTACTACTGTGTATTCTACGTCTAACTACGGTGCTGTTAGTGCTATCAACTATAACTTGAAAAACTTTACCTTTATTACCTGCAAGAAGCACCTTGTAGTAGGTCCAGTCAGCCACACAAACAAACCTGGAATACAAAAAACTTTAAAACATAACATTCATAAATACTTGCATATAGACATTATATATTGTCATAAGTACTTTACCTGTTTGGAGGAGTTCTCGACCAGCCACACGTTCACTTCAGTCAGACGTTCACCTCGGAGGCGCACAATCTGAAAGAAATGAGAAAACCTTAGTCCCATCCCACCATTAAAGGTGGGAGGTTGGGTGTTAAAGGGGAGTGAGATGGGAGTGAGGGTGTGTGTATGGGAGGACCTCCCCCACACACACCCTCACTCCCATCCATACACTCACCCTCTCTCACACCTTTCCTTATACCCAACACTCCCTCCCAAACACCCCCACCCACCCACCAACCCTCCCTCCCTCCCACCCCCCCTCCCTCCCACCCAACCCTCCTCCTACACCACCTCCCCTCCAACCCAACTCACATACCTACCCATCCCAACTCCCTTCCCATCCACCCAACCTTTTGGGTGTGTGGATGGGAGGTAGTGTTTGTGGATGGGAGGATGTGGATGGGAGGAAGAGGATGTGCATGGGAGGAAGAGGGTGTGGATGGGAGGAAGAGGGAGTGGTTAGGAGGAAGAGTGTGTGGTTGGGAAGAAGGGTGTGGTGTGCCATGCCCTCCTCCATGCAAACACAGCATCGAAAAATATTCTGAAGAAAATTGGTTTGTATTGGTGTAATATTGTGTTGTGAGGACTCATTTGTGTTTTAGTATGAATGATAAGTGTGCAGGGATTATGGTGGTGTGAGAGAGAGAGAGCCTTATAATAGTTGTGAGAGACTTGCTGTGTGTTGGCAGGAGCAACAGGTAGGCACGGCTTATAGCACTATTTTACCCTCACTTATATATCATATTATTGTATGCCAATAATTATTATTCAATATATTTACCAATGGTTTTACTGTATCAATTTGACTAACAAATTATAAATATAATATAATATCTTGAAGGTTCTAAGGTTGTTGTGGCCCCAGAATATACTACATATTATTTTATTGATAACTTTAAACTATTGTAACACAGTAGAGATAGGAACACGTAAAGGAAGATAAAACTTGATTAAATTAACCAACAGCTCAACGTTTAACAGTTATGATACAGTTTAGGTATAGACTAAAAAATGTTTATCTAACCTAACCCAATTATATGTCCATAAGAGAAGTGGGACATCTTGGAGTATCACAAGGGAGATAATGATTAAGCATTAATGACTGTAATAATGCCCACAGCCATCCTGTCCACAATCCCATTAAAATCATAGACAATCTCTGCAGCTAACGGTCAAATACCCTTTGGATATTTGGCCAGCCAGCACAGTCAAATAACACCTTCATAACTTGTACTGAGCCATTATTGGGTAGTGGTGGTGGAGTCCCTTAGTACCAGAGTACTGTGTTTATATTTGATTCATATTATCCACAGTTGTTCTGTGGATGATGTAGTATTAATGGTAAAATTTCACTTGTTACCACCAAGCATTTGGAAGTTGAAATTATGCTTGATGGATGTAAAATGTTATATAGATTTGATTCTATTGTTTGAAATTTTTTGGTACAAATTTATAAATTAAAAAGTTTTGATTTTAGGGGAAAATTTGACATTTCCTACGAACATATAGGACAAGAGTGTACAGTGTATGTAATTAATTTGCATTAGTATATAAGTATACTGTATTGATTGCACCAGTATAGAATATATAACCTAATCTAAACCATACTAGCCTAACAGATGGACTATGCCAAGATCTGATTGGTTAACAAACCAGCTACTAAAATGTAAAATATCTCACTTATACAGAACTTAATTTGTGACAGAAATGCCATAGAAGAAAAGTGTTTTAGAATGATCAAAACTACTGATTGCAACCATAAAATTATCAAAAAATTTTGGGTGGCAACAAATGACATAATATCATATTAACTAATAAAAATTAAACAACTTTTTATTTTAATTATAAATACCAGTATTTTTTTATATCTTCTCTATGAACATAAATCACCTGTAATGGGCAGGACATGAAAGATGACGGAGAGTACGGGGTAAAACACGGTGAAGAACTGATCATGTGACACTAAAATGATGTCTCCACGCTCTTTGACACAGAGAAATTAACTATTTACTGTAAACAATCTACCAAAAAATATGACGTGGCAGCCTGTGTTGTTGTCCGCTCTTAAACCAATAAACACTGACTCCGGTAATACTGTACTTAACTTGTCAATAAATGACAGACCCTCACATTGGTGGTTTTATTACCATATACCGGTATATAAAATTGATTGTGTTTTTTTTCTTTTAGGCTTTACTATCCAGATTCATGAGTCTATTATCTCCACAAATCCCTAATTTATTTTTTCGTTTGGTTAAGTAGGATCTTAAACCTATTCTATGCACATTATAAATTATGAGAATTATATTGTTGGAATCAAATCCCATAATAATGAGTTTAAATACATTTCCAATTTCTTTTGAGTAATATTGGTTAATGAGTGAAACTTATGTTCTTATATTTCATTTTCCCTCCCTAGTTATGACTTCTTGTTGGCGTTGCTGTTTATCAAATCGTAAATTATCTGCAAGACCCATTGTCAGATTTATAGCCGAGTGGGCGGGGCCTGTTCAACGACCAAGAGGGCCAAGATTATTTATTAACGACTCTGCCATATATGACATTATTAGGTGTAACTTCTATAATGAAACCATTTGGAAATAAAACCAATTATACAACAGAATACAAACTTTATTTATGACAATTAATGAGTCAGCTCACAACATTTTATGTATACTGTATATGAATTCATAAATTATTAAACTACACACACATATATGTAATGATAGTTTAAGTATATAACATTTACAGGAAAGAATTATATAAACTGAAGTACAGCAATGAACAACTGAATGTAAATTAATTTTTCTCAAATAACCAACAAGACAAAAATGAAAACTGATGATGTTTATGAAAAAATGACAACAGAGAAATAATGAGAAAATATTCCTTCCATTAATAACGTCCATATACACAGTACTGTACTCATTATGTGATAGTGATAATTAACTCAGTACAATTTAATTTTCCTGCTTTTTCCTCCAAGTTCAATTTCTGTGTAAGGTCTGCCCAAAATACAGTCAAGACCAGCTTACTTTTTCTACGGTGAGTCATTGAATGCCTATATTGTGTAAGCACGTGACAGTTGAGAAGGAGTGTTCACATATTGCAGTGCTTGTACCAAATGTGAGGGCAGCCGCATAAAGCTTGTGTATGTGAGTTAATCCATTTCAGAAAGGATATGATATCTTGAAATTTTCACCAATGTTTTTGAGAACTGGGCAATAAAATTCTTCAATAAGTCACTTAGCAACATGACATTCACTTACCAGAAGAGACGACTCAGTGTCGACACCTATGAGTTTAGCCAATGGGACAAGATTTTCCGGAAGTAATAAACAAGTCTTGGATTCTGGCCAACGACTAGAAATGACTAAGTAATCTCATATTATGTTCACCAAACTCAGCATTGAGTTCACCAAGGCAGTTATCTAAAATATTGTAGTACAGTTGATGATGTAAATCAGCTTCACTATCAAAACCATGAACATTAGAATGTCTTACAGTTGTTTCAGTCACTGTTAAGTATTGGAGCAGTTTGTGTTTATACCAACAGACCCAAAGGCAGTCCTGGTGGATCAAGTTTCCAATCTAGATCATTGGAACAACTCATTGGTAGGGGTACCCGCTCTATGGCAGTTCCCAGGAATATAAAAACATTTTCACTCTCCAAATTTTTTTACAGCATATTGAGATAGAATATATTCAAAACTTATGAAATGACTTTGTTGATAAAAGTCTTGTTTCCATATAAATTAAGACCGTCAGTTATTTACAAATGTGATCATGAGTACACAGCCATGCATCAGCCAACACAGTCCCACCAATACTGGAGTCTCGAGTACAGCAGACAGTGTTTTAGAGAAGAAACAACAGCATATACTTATAGAAAACCTCTACAAGTAGATGGTGCCTGTACTGTATTGATAGAGATAACACCAGAGAGAGAAAAAAGGAAGGTTTACATCTGTATTCCTTTACTTTGCTGGAGACAAACTGGGTCATGATAAAAAAGGAAGTGGCTACTTAACCAGGAGTTCCTGGCTGGTCACACTGGAGGTTATGTGAGAGGGTTATGCCTCCCAGTCATTGCTGACTTCTTAGAAGTGCCACACAGTCCTCAGCCTCCCTCACCTTCGGTGACTGGAGACAGGCTAAACAACTTAGCAACGTTTAATGTCATCGATGACGGCCCCGTTAAGGTGTGGGGAGCTATTTCCCACGCCAAAGTATAACATATGAACAAGAATGATATTAAAGAACTCATAGAAGAAGAAATAGACGCGCAGAGAGAAATTAAGAGACCCGGCGGAAAATCCACCTCGGCTCTAGTTGGATTTTTCCACAAACTTCCAGAGACGGTCACACTGGGATGGGACATCGTCTGAGTGAGATCTTACGTGCCATGACAGACCAGATGCTTCAAGTGTCAGCGGTACAGTCACCCACCCAAAAAATGCAAGGCCCCAGAAGATGTGTGCTACAGATGTGTGTCTTCTGGACACCAGGCGGTCGAATGTCCGGGTGGTCGGAGGTCGTAAGTCGGGGAGGAGCTGTAATCTATATGATGAAGAAAAAGACCCCACCACTAACACCAATGGTAGGAGACTTATCTCACTTTTCAGTGCAAATGAAGATGTTAGGTTATGATCAACCTAATGGAAATGTAACTGAGAAAGGAATTAGAATTAACAAGTGGGCATCCATTCTACAAACAGAATTAGTTGCCATACTTTCAGCCATTAAATTTATTTAAATCACCATCACCGACAGTCTCGTCATCACTGACTCTCTATCCTGCTTGCTCTTAACTTAAGTTGTCACGCATTTGTCTGTGAAGCCAGACACAAATGTGGACCTTGTTGATGGAGGTGTCAAGATCAAACTGTTGTTGATCCCTTCTCACACAGGCCTCAAAGAACATGACAGAGTTGATGCCCTCGCCAAACTCGCGTCTAACAAAGACACTGTTAAACACAATTTGGGCCTGTCAAAAAGAACCCTTAAAACTGTTACTAGGCAAGAACAGATTGATGAATTTGATGCAAGCAGACAAGTGCAAACAGGCATTAGTCAATACAGTGTTTACCATGATGAGAAGTATCAAGTGAAACATGTATATGGAGCAGGGAACTAGATCACTAGATTACAAGATAATGGAACTGCTAAAGTAAGATAAGGATATAAGTACCTCTGGCAGTATATCCCTCAAGCAGATGTGAAAAAAAACTAAATGCAAAGTGTGTGATCAAACAAATGACCACAAACTGGAATACCACGTCCTTGACTGTGTGAAGACAGAACCTTTTACGGACAGGTCCAAATACACTGTGTGTGAAATGAACAACACTTTATCTCTAAATGGCAAGATAGCCGATATATTAAGACTGCATCCACTTTTTTGAACTCAGTTGCTATATCATTTCCCATCTATAGAACCAAACACACAATATGCTTGAATACTTCTCATGCAAATGCGAATAACAAAGTGTGTGGCCAGGCATATTGCCTCACACTGTTGTACTCAGGCAGTTGTGAATAAGTTACCCTCGATGTACAAAAATAAAACAAACAATGTATTTGAAATACTCTGTAACATTCAATGTCATAATGTCCTGACCACTGGGGTTAGTTATCCAGACCCCTTGTGACCTCAACTCTGTAATTCTTTTGTGCTACTGCTCACAGGATAAGTATGGGGTGCACAATAATCTGGTCACTGTAAGTGGCAAAATTAATTAAATTTTAACCATCCGCTACATTTGGTTAACAGTAGTGCATACTATTGGAAAGCAAGCAGTGGTCACGTCACCCGGCCACTGTGTCAGCAATTATAGCTAACCACAAAAAGTTGGTGGATGTACTTGATACATGTGAGGAAAATGAGTGTGATGCAGCAGTGTGGCAACTGGATTATTGAAACAGATAAAATGCAGAAAAATTCATGTTTACTGCATACCGTGTGAAGGAATTTCTGCCGACACTTGGACCTGCAGATCAGCTTTTACAATCACATGACTGACTTCATGACAAGAATTCACCTTATTGAATCTCTTGTCAGTAGTGTTAAAGACATCTGGAACAACACTGGCAATGAGAATATCTCATCAAAACTTGATCATCACGACCTTACAGAATACCATCAGGAAAAGCAAAAGCATAACACAAACTGCCCCAATACTTAACAGACTAAAACAACTGTAAGACATTCTAATGTTCATGGTTTTGATAGTGAAGCTGATTTACATCATCAACTGTACTACAATATTTTAGATAACTGCCTTGGTGAACTCAATGCTGAGTTTGGTGAGCATAATATTAGACTACTTACAGTCATTTCTAGTCGTTGGCCAGAATCCAAGACTTGTTTATTACTTCCGGAAAATCTTGTCCCATTGGCTAAACTCATAGGTGTCGACACTGAGTCGTCTCTTCTGGTAAGTGAATGTCATGTTGCTAAATGACTTATTGAAGAATTTTATTGCCCAGTTCTCAAAAACATTGGTGAAAATTTCAAGATATCATATCCTTTCTGAAATGGATTAACTCACATACACAAGCTTTATGCGGCTGCCCTCACATTTGGTACAAGCACTGCAATATGTGAACACTCCTTCTCAACTGTCACGTGCTTACACAATATAGGCATTCAATGACTCACCGTAGAAAAAGTAAGCTGGTCTTGACTGTATTTTGGGCAGACCTTACACAGAAATTGAACTTGGAGGAAAAAGCAGGAAAATTAAATTATATTGAGTTAATTATCACTATCACATAATGAGTACAGTACTGTGTATATAGAAGTTATTAATGGAAGGAATATTTTCTCATTATTTCTCTGTTGTCAATTTTTTCATAAACATTATCAGTTTTCATTATTGTCTTGTTGGTTATTTGAGAAAAATTAATTTACATTCAGTTGTTCATTGCTGTACTTCAGTTTATATAATTCTTTCCTGTAAATGTTATATACTTAAACTATCATTACATATATGTGTGTGTAGTTTAATAATTTATGAATTTATATACAGTATACATAAAATGTTGTGAGCTGACTCATTAGTTGTCATAAATAAAGTTAGTGTTCTGTTGTATAATTGGTTTTATATGCAAATGGTTTCATTATAGAAATTACAACTAATAATGTCATACGGTATATGGCAGAGTCGTTAATAAATAATCTTGGCCCTCTTGGTCGTTGAAGAGGCCCCGCCCACTCGGCTATAAATCTGACAATGGGTCTTGCAGATAATTTACGATTTGATAAACAGCAACGCCAACACGAAGTCATAACTACGGAGGGAAAATAAAATATAAGAACATAAGTTTCACTCATTAACCAATACTACTCAAAAGAACTTGGGAATACATTTAAACTCATATTATGGGATTTGATTCCAACAATATAATTCTCACAATTTATAATGTGCATAGAATAGGTTTAAGATCCTACTTAAACAAACGAAAAAATAAATAAGGGATTTGTGGAGATAATAGACTCATGAATCTGGATAGTAAAGCCTAAAAGAAAAAGTCAATCAATTCTATATTTATGGTAATAAAACCCCCAATGTGAGGCTCTGTCATTTATTGACAAGTTAAGTACAGTATTACCGGAGTCAGTGTTTATAGGTTTAAGAGCGGACAACAACACGGGCTGCCACGTCATATTTTGGGGCAGATTGTTTACAGTAAATAGTTAATTTCTGTGCATACAAAGCACGTAGAGACATCATTTCAGTGTCACGCTATCAGTTCTTCACTGTGTTTTACCCCATAATTGCCCTCATCCTTCATGACCTGTCAACTACAAGTGATTTATGTTCGTATTTACAGAAGAGCGAAAAAAATACTGGTACTTATAACTAAATTAAGAAGTTGTGTCAATTTTATTAGTTAATATGATATTATGTCATTTGTTGCCACCCAAAGAATTTTGATAATTTTACGGTTGCAATCAGTAGTTTTGATCATTCTAAAACACTTTTATTATATGGCATTTCTGTCACAAATTAAGTACTGTATAAGTGAGATATTTTAGTAGCTGGTTTGTTAACCAACCAGATCTTGGTATAGTGCATGGGTTAGGTTAAGTTGGAGTAGGTTAGGTTAGGTTTTCCTAAATTAATTATATACTCTATATCTAATACATACAGTGCACATATATACTAAATACAAATTAATTACATACACTGTACACGCTTGTCCGAGATGTTCGTAGGAAATGTCAAATTTTCCCCTAAAATCAAAACTTTTAATTTATAAATTTGTACCAAAAAATTTCAAACAATAGAATCAAATCTATATAACATTTTACATCCATCAAGCATAATTTCAACTTCCAAATGCTTGGTGGTAACAAGTGAAATTTTACCATTAATACTACATCATCCACAGAACAACTGTGGAATCAAATATAAACACAGTACTGTGGTACTAAGGGACTCCACCACCACTACCCAGTACAAGTTATGAAGGTGTTATTTGACTGTGCTGGCTGGCCAAATATCCAAAGGGTATTTGACCGTTAGCTGCGGAGATTGTCTATGATTTTAATGGGATTGTGGACAGGATGGCTGTGGGCATTATTACACTGCTTAATCATTATCTCCCTTGTGATACTCCAAGATGTCCCACTTCTCTTATGGACATATAATTGGGTTAGGTTAGATAAACATTTTTTAGTCTATACCTAAACTGTTAAACGTTGAGCTGTTGGTTAATTTAATCATGTTCTATCTTCCTTTACGTGTTCCTATCTCTACTGTGTTACAATAGTTTAAAGTTATCAATAAAATAATATGTAGTATATTCTGGGGCCACAACAACCTTAGAGATATTATATTATATTTATAATTTGTTAGTCAAATTGATACAGTAAAACCATTGGTAAATATATTGAATAATAATTATTGACATACAATAATATGATATATAAGTGAGGGTAAAATAGTGCTATAAGCCGTGCCTACACAGCAAGTCTCTCACAACTATTATAAGGCTCTCTCTCACCCCTGCACACTTATCATTCACACTAAACCCAAATGAGTCCTCACAACACAATATTACACCAACACAAACCAATTTTCTTCACAATATTTTTCTCCGCTTTGTTTACATGGAGGAGGCCATGACACACGGCTCCCTCTCACCCTCTATAAAAGGAACAACTTTTACATTACATTTAGTTTTTAAATGATCTAGCAATTATAAAAATATTCTATGATATTATTATTTATCTTAAATTGTGTAAATTTTGTCACTGTGTGTACTTTGGCAATAATGCCTTGATAACTTTATATAAGGCCTCCCTCCAGCACTTGTTTCTTCCATCTATCTTGTGTTCTTTCCTTGATGAGAGGAAGAAGATTTTTTTTAGTTTAACAAATTTATTGGCAGAGCTTGTAGTACAGTTTGCCTATTCCGAGTAATTCAGTCAGGTCTTGACACTGAGGGTGGTATCACTGTTCACTGCCACGCAGGACAGAGGTTCACACACAAAGAAATACATCATATTCATTAACAACTATAAATGTATATAGGTCAGGTTCATATGGATAATGTCACTGTTCACTGCCATACAGGACAGAGGTTCATACACAAAGAAATACATCATATTCATTAACAACTATAAATGTATATAGGTCAGGTTCATATGGATAATGTCACTGTTCACTGCCATGCAGGACAGAGGTTCACACACAAAGAAATACATCATATTCATTAACAACTATAAATGTATATAGGTCAGGTTCATATGGATAATGTCACTGTTCACTGCCATGCAGGACAGAGGTTCATACACAAAGAAATACATCATATTCATTAACAACTATAAATGTATATAGGTCAGGTTCATATGGATAAAGTCACTGTTCACTGCCATGCAGGACAGAGGTTCATACACAAAGAAATACATCATATTCATTAACAACTATAAATGTATATAGGTCAGGTTCATATGGATAATGTCACTGTTCACTGCCATGCAGGACAGAGGTTCATACACAAAGAGTTGCATCATATTCATTAACAGTACATATACATATATGTAAACACACACACACACACACACATATATATATACATACATATACGGATATACATACACATATACATGTACACGTACATATACATGCACACACGCACACATACATACATATACGTCGGTCAGATTCATGTGGGTAATGTCACTTTTCACTGCCATACAGGACAGAGGTTCGTACACAAAGAATGCATCATATTCATTGACACTATATATAGGTCAGATTCATGTGGGTAATGTCACTGTTCACTGCCATACAGGACAGAGGTTCGTACACAAAGAATGCATCATATTCATTGACACTATATATAGGTCAGATTCATGTGGGTAATGTCACTGTTCACTGCCACGCAGGACAGAGGTTCGTACACAAAGAAGGAAATACATCACATTCACCAGCAGCATATATAGGTCAGTGGATCACATACATTGGAGTCATATTCTAATTGAAGACTAATCAGTGTGGGCTAGCAAATTTGGGATAAACAGCAAGAATGTCCTCAAGCACACCTGATTCAATGAAGTAATTACATAGTTCAGATACGGAAGAAGAAGAATAAAAACGATTGATGAGAGGAAGAAGAAGAAGACTAAGGTTTTGTTAAGAGGAAGGTTTTAGGGGTAACTATTATATTTGATCACAGAAAACGTCGCCGGGGTAACTATTATATTTAATCAGTGAACTGCATCTTACAAGTTGTACACAGGTTTGGTATTGCCCCCCTAAACTCATTAGCTCTGAGGGTGCAGTACCAGGCCGGTCTCAGTCAGGCCAAGTTATTCTATTTCATGTTTTCTTGGGCCTTTATATGTTAGGGGAGTCCCTCCATGATCCTTGTGTCACTACAAGGATGATCCCCATCTTTTTTGTTTCTAGTTTTAATTGTGGGTTTTTCAGATCTTTCTATAGAATTTGTTTTATTTTTGGTAATATTGGATATTTTTGTTATTTCACCTTTATTTCTGCATATATTTTTATTTTGCTTCATTTATTTACTTTTAATTAATATTTGCTAATTACTAGTTAAAAATAAATACAAATTTACCAATTGTTCACTCAATTATTTAAATAAATTGTATAAGGATTTAATATTTAAGAGAGAGTCACTTTGGTAAGGGAAACTATGTTAAGTCTTGTTAAGTTTATTTTACTCTCTCCTCTTGGTCACAGATCGTCTTGTTACTTCACACTCTAGTGCCTCTTGAGTTATTCTAAAGGTATAAACTATATTTACTGTGTTATTACCGTACATATGGTGGTCCTCAGTCCACATTCCTGCCACTAGGGTCCAGGTACAGGGTGTATTAATATACCTTCTCAGTGGAAACTTTTCTTTTTTTACACACACTGTACTGTACGTCGCCGCTCTTCAGTGACTACATCACAACACATTCACGTAAATAGTTCTCAGTTAAATCAGTCGTTGTAAACAAGGAAATAAATAACTTTCTCCTATTATAACTGACTTTTAACTCACCCTGTTAAAGCTACATTTATTAACATCAGTTGTAACATTAATGAGGGACATCTGTACTGTACTGTACTGTACATCAGTTGTAACATTAATGAGAGACATCTGTACTGTACTGTACTGATCTGTGCTGTACAGTACATCAGTTGTAACATTAATGAGGGGCATCTGTACTGTACTGTACTGTACATCAGTTGTAACATTAATGAGAGACATCTGTACTGTACTGTACTGTACATCAGTTGTAACATTAATGAGAGACATCTGTACTGTACTGTACTGATCTGTGCTGTACAGTACATCAGTTGTAACATTAATGAGGGGCATCTGTACTGTACTGTACATCAGTTGTAACATTAATGAGAGACATCTGTACTGTACTGTACTGATCTGTGCTGTACAGTACATCAGTTGTAACATTAATGAGGGACATCTGTACTGTACTGCACTGTACATCAGTTGTAACATTAATGAGGGACATCTGTACTGTACTGTACTGTACATCAGTTGTAACATTAATGAGAGACATCTGTACTGTACTGTACTGATCTGTGCTGTACAGTACATCAGTTGTAACATTAATGAGGGGCATCTGTACTGTACTGTACTGTACTGTACATCAGTTGTA